CAGTAAAGGGAACACATAAATTGAACGGAATAAAGCCTTCTGGATCTTCTGAAAATGTTGAAGTATCTTTGGAAAGAAGAATAATTCTTCAGCTGCAGTAGATCGAAGTGTTGAATTAGACAGCACAAGTTTTGAGCAGGATGATATTGGAGGGTGTACTGCTTCTTGGCGTGAAGGTGATGCCCATTTATCTACCTTTTCATTCCAATAAAATTTATGATGCATGGTTCTGGATGATCTCAAACAATTACCTCATTTAATTAAGCATAAGAAAAGTTTTTTAGTATTGTAAAGATGGTATGCATTTAATCTTAAGCATTAGTTGCACCAAATTGCTTTTTTCCAAATGCCTCAATCCAATATTGTATGTCTCATTATTCTGAAGATAAATTATTATTTCAACAATTAGTTCTTCATGATAAAACCATCAAGATATCACCTTCGTTTATGTTCTCTGTTATGACCTTCTAAATGTTTGTCTTTTGTGCTCATCAAGCATTCTATTGAAATTGACTGTCACCCAGTTCATAGATTTTAGTGCTAAAAGTCTTATATAGAGCCTGTTTGGTGCACATTAAAATGAGAGAATGCATTTTTTTTAAGTGATGTGATGGAAAATATGTGGTTGAAAAAGAAAGAAAAGTTATTGATGTGATGCAAAATATTATTTTATTGATGAATGTGTGATTGAAAATGAGTATGAAAATGAGAATGAAAAAAATAATGTGGCTCAAAAGGGGCATAATATTTCATTTTCTTCAAAGTAGGGTACTATTGAGATTCTAGGATAAACAAATTCTGCAAGTTAATATACAAGATAATAATTTTTTTGATATACTTTTAATTTACATGTTAATTATACCCTTATTATTTTTGTGATATGTAGGGAGTTAGATTATTTTTGGGATAGCAAAATTGTTGGTCACAGAAGCAAACTTCGGTATGGATCAAATATTTTGTAATGTTTTAAATTTTTTTTTAAATAGTAGTCTATATTTTTCACATATTGCTATATAAGTTTTTGAGTAGGTTAATGTTGTTAGCATTATTTAGATGAACTCTACATTTTGACGTATTGTATTGAATCATATTCACTATTTTTGTTTATCAGAACTATGTAAAATCTGATTACATATAATTAATGTGTACTATTTTGTTTTGTAATTACTTTGGGTTTGTTGGTAATCAAATAAATAAATATTTTTAAAAAACTAAATTAATTATGCAAAATTTTAAAAAATATGGAAAATGACTTACGACAACGGTAAAAAAATGTTGCAAAAAAATAAGTGTATAAGTAGACAACACGCAAAAAAGTTGCACAGGTTATTCACAACACTTAAAAACGTTGCAAAAAGGATATTGATAACACTCAAAAAACGATACAAAAAAGGTTGTTGGCAACATTCAAAAAATATTGCTAAAATGTTATTAGCAACATTCAAAAAACATTGCAAAAAAGTTATTAGTAACATTCAACAAATTTGTTAACAACATTTGACAGACGTTGTCGTATCGTACTACTCTACGACAACATCGAGGTTTGGAGAGAGAAAATATACCGAAAAAGAACAAGAAATCAAGACAAGGGTTGAATTGGAAGAACAAGATTACCTTGGTGCAAGATTCATCAACTTATCTACATCTTAATTCAAAGTGCTCAATTATTATTCTTTGTTTTTTCATCCATTATGAGTAGCTTAACTTTATATTAGGGCGAACAATGTAGTTTGTTGTGACCCTTTAATTCAATTTTCAAAATTATAATTCATTAAAAAATTATTATTTTTTGTGTGACTTTATTTATGGAGTTCAATGCTTGAAATTCGCGGCCAATAATTCAATGATTTTGTGTATCTATTACGAGTCGAGTGGTGAGTTTTGGGTTTAGACCACATAGTAAAATTCAGGAACTAGTATAAAAGCGTAGAGATACCTTTTCCAATTAAAAATAAATAAATAAAAATCAACTACTATGAAAAAGTAAATTAAAATAGAATTGAACTATTCCCCTTCCAAAGTTTTATATTTTCTTCCTCATTTTTGCGAGGGTTTTATAAATAATCCACAAATACTGTAGTTCATTTAAAAATAAAAATAAGAGTTCCATTTATTAAATACTAGTCAAATGCCCGTGCATTCTTTTTGAGGCAATATTAGTATGTCGATCGTTCAGGATTGAAAGCAGATATGTGCTGTGGTTTAGATTGGCAAAATGCATGGGTTGAATTATGATAAAGGACTAAACATTTAAACCTTCTAAGTACAGATAATGATTTCAATTATTTGTTCAAGTTCAAAGGGACCAGTTTTGTCATTTATTATTTAGCTATATAGTAGCCCTTTCCAATTAGTTAAAATAAATGACTATATGCGAGATATGTTTCAGCATCTTGTATATCCTAAGTCCTCAACCTTCACTTGTTCAAAATTGAATCTAACCCACCTTCTCAATTGAGCATCAAATGCTAGATGCAAGAAAAAAAAGGATACAAGAGATGCAAAATACAATTAGGAAGCATTNTTGAGCATCAAATGCTAGATGTAAGGAAAAAAAAAAAAAAGGATACAAGAGATGCAGAATACAATTAGGTAGCATTGCTAGTTTATACTTCTACATTATAACCATTTATGTTCACCTTAATTGTCCCATAGCTTCTTGTATGGGAGAATTACTCAGAACCTTGAGAAGTACTCAAAATGGAAAAAAAAATTATCTGCACAGAAAATTTCATCATGCCCATTCCACTGTTATGATTTCATCACATTTTGCATGACTTGTACACCACCATGGAAAATAAAAGCACGCCGTAAATCGAGTATAAGTAATCTGATGAACGCATACAATCCAAGAATAATCTTTATGTAAAAACTGGCAGAACTCTGTTTCTTTATCATTATTCTAACTGAAGACAATCTAACTACTCAAATTAATTCAAAAAATTTTGGCATATGAAATACAATCACCCGACAAACAAAGCAATCAAGTTTCTATCCACATCACCTTCGCTGCAAATACAACTGATTGACCTAAGTGGGATCAGAAGTCATGTTGATGTTCGGCTGCATGTGTAGAATTTCTATCAGAATTTTATAGCAATCAGTAATGGAGAATCACAGTTTAGGTAAAAGGAAGCAAAGAAAAACGAAAATAAAAAGAGAATTACAGCGGGAGCTTCTTCAATTATTTTCTGATATCTTTTCCGGACACTGGAATCTCTCTCATTAAGATGTATTACATTATCGAGTTTGTCCCCAAAGATCTACAAATTGTATTTCAGATAAACACAAGTTCAGAGTCACATGTTCCGAATTGCTTTAATTATGATCTTGTTTGTAGGTGAATTTTGGGAGCATGAAGTAGAAGAAATTTATGAATTATATT